TGGGTTGATCAGGATAGGACGAGGAATCGAAAGCATTGAAATCAAGAAAAAAATCTTCGATGTGTTGATGAATAAAATTGAACGAAAATTGATGAAATAAAAATGAATATTCAATATATTGTTGTTCTTCTTGAAAATCGTTTAATTGTGAACAACATAAAACAGCACGAACAAGAGCCATTCGAAGAGTATTCGACGGTCTAATAGAAGATATACCATGGAGTGTCGGTAAAACATAAGGTTCATATTTCCAATCATGGGTGTGGGTGTGGGTGTGGTTGTGGGTGTGGTTGTGGGTGTGGGTGTGTGTGTGTGTGGGTGTGGGTGTGGGTGTGGGTGTGGGTGTGGTTGTGGGTGTGGGTGTGTGTGGGTGTGGGTGTGGGTGTGCGTGTGGGTGTGGGTGAAAAGAAAAGCTACATCCACATGAACCCACCCACACCCACACGAACACCCACCTACCCACACCCACCAACACCCCACATCCATACACCCACCCCACCCACACCCACACCCCACCCACACCTACACCCACACCTACACCCACACCCACACCCTATTCGGCAAAAACAACGTGCTCGACAAGTCGTACAATGGTGTCAGTTTCGAAAAATGACTGTACAACTCGTCTACCTTATATGTATTCATATTGTCTTTGTGCTCCCATACATTATTGTCGTTCTTCTCAACTGGTCAGGCTTGGCTGATGTTGGAACAAGCGTAAGAAGATACTATCTGGATCCACTTACATATTTTATCGCAATTCCTCTACCGTTTGCTATTCTACTTTCTGTGCCTGGTCTTAAAGAGAAATTTAAAAACCTATGGTTGTGTAACCATCACCAGCGAATGATTGCTCCAACCACAGGAACAAGAGCCTGTGACACCTATATAAATTAGACTCATCGTTCTTTCCGTAAAGACACCTATAATTGACTTTATCTAGAACGAATTTCTATATATCTTTTGAATTTTTTGTTTCTTGTAAATACTTCAAATCCTTTTAGTGATTTATTCTCGACATCAGAACCATAGTTTATTGTAAAGAAAAGCAGAGTCAGTTACTAAGACCGTAATCAGAGGCTGTAACTCGACTCTGTGTTGTAGTTTTCGAAATTCGAAACATTATAATGAAAAACCTGATTGTAGTATATATGTGCAGGAGTTAGTTTTTTTGAATATCCGTTCCTATACTAGTTCTCTAAAGTCAAAATTTTCCGTTTCAATCCTGAATAGGAAAAAACCAAATGAGTGATGAACGCTACTGTCTGTCACAAGCATTCTGACTCTGTCCAACCCATATGAAAAAAAATGGAAACGATCCACTTTTAAGAGACGTTCCGCTAGACCATCAAACACTGCGACCAAGAGCAAAGTTTTTTATCGATTTAAAATCGTCGTAGCAAGATTTTACCCCAGACAGACTTTTTTTTACCCTTCTGGTCATGTTGTCATTGTGATCCAACTTTACAGTAGTCCGTATTTTAAGATTTTCCCCGGAATAGCTAAAACGAGGGTGTGGGTATCGTATTACTGTATTCTTAGTCACACCCACACTCTATGTACTACCATTGTTTTATTCAAGGTAAATCAAGTGATTTATAACATTCACGCTGAAAAATTAGAGAATCTAAATGGTAGAAAAGAAATATTTATTTTCATTAAATAATACTTACCACTCATTGAGATGATCAAATGAACTAAATAAGAGAGAAAAATATGTTTATTTTTTTATATAATAATAGTTATTGTTGAAATTTATTGGAACATTGCCGATTAATCGAAATTTATTGTAATATCCCACAGATCAGGGTGTGGGCGTGAGTGTGGATTTATATGCGAGTATGGAGCCTTGCTGTGCGTTTGGATACGGGTTTTACTGTGGCTGAAGCATGCATGTTCTCATATTTCAAACTTACAACGACATACCAACGGTCACATCCACACCCACACCCATAACATCTGGTTTATACTTTACATCGTGTGGTAGTTGTATGTCAGAAGAAAAAGACGAATTTAGCTTACAGGAAGTTAAAGATGCCTATCTACATCATACAAAAGGATACTGGTTGAAAACTAAAAATCATTTCATCTGACTAGCCTACAACTATAACAGATCGAATTGTAATAGTTTGGAAAAACAATCTGGAATTATTTCATTGTACAGATTTAAATTTGATAGAAGATTATATGATGGAAGTTCAAGTGAAATTGAAGGTGGTAATCAAAATCAGAGTGATAGCTTCATAGAAGCGAATGTAAAAGTTGTACTTAAAATTCTGATTTATTTATTAGGTAATTTTTCAATCACTTCGTACATCTACCAAATAAATTTACTCTTGCTCTG